TTAGGCCTTAGGGCTTAGGGTTTATGGCCTTTGGGAACTTCGATTTCCAGAATCATGCCGGCCCAACGTTCTCTTCGGCATTGACCTGAAGGATTGCAATGTCCGACAGTGGATCTGCGCCGACCACGTAAGCACCTGGCGGCTTCTGCTTTCTCGAAACATTTGGCCGGGATTGCTTCTGCCCTACGGTACGAGTTAGGGTTTTGGCTTTTGGGCTTCGGGGCCTATGATACCATAACTATAAGAAGGAACCCCCCAAATAGTATTGGTAACTATTGAGGCCCCTACATTAGGGTTTAGTGTTCTGCAAGTGCCATGGTGTTTCGGCTTCACAGAGGGCTTTCGGCAAGTTCAGTGGCCAAGATTGGCTAAGGGGATCCTGAGCCAAGATCCGCATCTAACTCAGTAGAAAAGACATGGAGGCCGCCCTAAACCCAAAACCTGGAACCCTGAACCCTAAAATTGTTGCAGACACCCTCGGAAAGGTTCTTTTCCCTGCTGGGCGAGAGCTGGGGCAGGATACACGCGACTGAGCTTGGAGCTAGCGTGATCTCTTTACATATCAGAACAGAAGAGCCGCGTAGTCTTCCAGGAAATGGGAAACCGCAGACTCTCGCGTATGACCCATACCGATGCATACGAAGCTTTGGATATCTTGAGGAGGATGCCTAGGCACTCAAATGAGACAGGCCCTTACCTTATAGTGATTAGAGTGGCATATACCTTAAGATAAGAACCCAAAACCCACTTTTTTGTAGGTTCTTATTATAAACCCTAATATGGGATTTATAGGGACCCTACAAAAAAGTAGGTTTTGGGTTCTTAAGGTACAGCTATAGATGACTAAGAGCGGCCGATGAAAGGCCCGGCTTGCCCGTGTTCAAGGCTGATCCGCCGAGTGGTGACACGGCTACTGTAGGGGCCTTAATAATAAGAATAGGGTTGTGGGGGGCTCCTTATTGCCAATATAGTGTAATATACCCCCAAACCCTATTCTAACTATCAAGGCCCCTAAACACTAAACCATTGTAGTAGCCTTTATAGAACCATTTAAAGAACCCTTTAATCCTGTTCTAATTATCAAGGCCCCTATATAGTTAAATTAGAATATACCCCCAAATCCTGTTCTACTCATAAAGGCCCCTATATTAATGATAGGGCTAAACCCTTATAGTAGCTCTTACAAGGAACCCTTTAACCCTATTCTAATTATTAAGGCCCCTACTATAGATCCCTTATAAGGAACCCTATGCTAATTCTTAGGGCCCCTACTATAGAACCCTATTCTAACTATTAAGGCCCCTATACTAATGTCAGGGCTATGTACAGTTCCGGAGCGGCTCAACTCTGGCAGTCCTGGCCACGGGGACCCGTGAGCTTCAAACGCCCTAACCAAGGGGTCTTCAGATTCAGGGCTCCCTAAACCCTAAACCCTAAACCCTAATACCCTAAAACCCTAAAGCCTTAAGACCCAAACCCAAAAGCCAGCACAGGCTAGCATAGTACAGAGGACACCACTTTAGTTCAGAGTCCGGGTCATCACGCTGCCCCAACCCCCCTCTGCCCCCCCCCCCCTGCCACCGCCCCGCATCATTAAGAGACTTGTGGTCGAATTCCCGACGAGTTCCCCCGTATCGATGAAACTAGCGCAGCAAAAAAGGGTATAGGGTTTAGGGTTTAGGGTTTAGGGCTTAGGGTTTAGGGTTTAGGGTTTAGCGCAGCACTCACGGAGAGATCTCCTTAGCGAGCCATGCAAGTCAAGTCCGCCACGCTCGGCTTCCTCTCAGGGCAAGGGGACGTGAAGGCAGCTGAATTTTGAAAGCTCTGGCGTTTTGGGGTTTGGGGGCGCAGGGGGTTCCCGCATATAGATGGCATCCTAAACCCTAAACCCTAAACCCTAAACCCTAAACCCTAAACCCTAAACCCTAAACCCCTAAACCCTAAACCCCTAAACCCCTAAACCCGCTCGTCAAACATGCCCGCTGCTCCCTCCACCCGAAGTCGAAGCCCTGGCCCTGAAATCCCAAAACCTTAGGACCACATGATTAGGTTTTAGGGTACTATAGGGGTTCTTTCTAAGGGTACTATAAGGGTTCCTTTAAAGGGATCTATAGGGGTTTAGGGCTTAGGGTTTAGGGCTTAGGGCTTAGGGTGTTGGGGTTTGGGGTTTAGGGTTTGGGGTTTTGGGTTTAGGGTTTGGGGTTTGGGGTTTAGGGTTTAGGGTTCAGGGTCCAGGGTTTAGGGTTTACTACTTGGGCTTCTGACTACGATCATCATCGTTGCATCAGCCCTGTAACTGTGACACTCTGCGCGAGATTCGCTGTGGAGAACTGGAGCATAACAGCGAGGCAGAAGCCACCAACAGCGTCGAAGCCAAGCGATGTCAATAGTTATGACGGTAGCAACATGAATGATCATGGTGATCACCATGGAGATACGAGAAACAGCAACCCTGTGGGCATGATGTCGAGTAGGTACTATAAGATATTAGCGATGAAGATTACGCGGCGGAGAGAGGCTGCGTAGCGGAGACTCATCATGATGATGGAAATATAAAACATAATATGCGAGTGAAGCTAAACCCTAAACCCTAAACCCTAAACCCTAAACCCTAAACCCCTAAACCCTAAACCCTAAACCCTAAACCCCTAAACCCTAAACCCTAAACCCTAAACCCTAAACCCGTACAGCACACAGCCAACACTCCCGGTCCCAGCCCCTAAGCTCTACAATAATCAATGAGCCCCTTAAGCACCAAACTCCCCAAACCTTACGCCGAAATGAAACCCAAGGCAATCCCGCTAAACTCTCTAGTAAACATAAAAACCACCCCAACCAAAGCCCCATGAACCCCTCGCCGCCCCCCCCCCCCCCAGCCCTCCTTGGCAAAGGCGGCTCCGGTGGGAAGTAGGGGTTGGCGGCCTCATTCACCTCCGCTGCGAAGAAGTTTCACACGAGGTTGACGGCGTAGGGAGGGTCTGGGGTTCTCAAGGAGTAGGGTTTTCGGGTTTAGGGCTTGAGGGTTTAAGGTTTAGGGTTTAGGGGTTTAGGGTTTAGAGTTTAAAGGTTCAGGGTATCATAGTTTCGAGTTGCAAGCTTGCCTTAAACCCTAAGCCAGAGTAGAACCCTTCTGCCAAGCTTGCATGTATTCCTCAATCACGGACGAGTACCGTGCAAGATTGCTTGGGGTTGAAAGCTCAAGGGGGCTTCTGGGTTTAAGGTCTTTTGGGCTTTAAGGCTTTAGGGTTCTAAATCGCAGTGGATTTCCAAAGGCACCTGCGTTGCATTGTCAAACTGGAAGAGCAAAAGGAGGCCGGCCCAGGCTGTGGCGGCCTTAGCTGGTTTACGGTTTAGGGTTTAGGGTTTAGGATTCAGGGTTTAGGGTTTAGGGTTTAGGGTTTACGGTTTACTTTAAGGATCATGGGACTTACTAACTAAGGTTGTTATTAGGGTAACTATACTTATAACTACTTATAACCCAAGGTTTACGGTTTGAGGTTTAGGGTCTCTCTTATCAAGGTTTGAAGGGTTCAGGGTTTAGGGTTTGGGTGTTGGGTATCGGGGTTTGGGTCTTTTCTATGGAAAGAGGCTCTTTCTTGGAATTGAGTTTACGGCTTAGAATTTAAAGTAGAAGCCAGAAAGTTGGAACATCATTAAACGGTTTAGTGTTTAGGGTCTCTCATGAAGGTTTGAAGGGTTCATTTCTTAGGGTTTTGGTATCAGGGTTTGGGTATTTTCTATGGAAAGAGGCTTTGTCTGGCAATTGAGTTCACGGTTTAGGCTTTGAAGTAGAAGCCAGAAAGTTGGCGGATCCTGATCCTCATGCCCTTACAAGTGAAGTAGAGGGATCCTGGCACTGATCCTCCCAGACCGACGTTCCAACTTTCTGGCTTCTACTTTGCCGGTCTCTCATCAAGGCTTGAAGGGTTCAGGGTTTAGGGTTTTGGCATCAAAGTTTGGGGTTTAGGGTTTAGTAAGGGTTTTGGCATCAAAGTTTGGGGTTTAGGGTTTAGGGTTTAGGGTTTTGGCATCAAAGTTTGGGTCTTTTCGATGGAAGGAGGCTCTTTCTGGGAATTGAGTTTAGGGTTTCGGGTGGTTTTCTGGAACCAAATGAACCATACCGTCCTTTTTGCGCTTCCAGGATTCCCGAACCCTAAAAACCCTATGAGCCCTAAACCCTAAACCCTATAAACCCTATAAACCCTATAAACCCTATAAACCCTATAAACCCTATAAACCCTATAAACCCTATACACCCTATAAGCCCTATACACCCTAAACCCTAAACCGCAGTCGTAGGGGTGTAGATGTTGGGGGTGTCGGGGTCTTCGGGGCATTGAGAGGTCGAAGGTTTTCGGACTCTGGGTTTCAGGGCTTTGGGGGTTTAGGGTTTAGGATATATATATATATATATGTATATAGAGAGAGAGAGAGTGTTTCGGGGGTTAGGGGTTCAGGGGTTTATGGTTTAGGGTAGAGGTGTGGAGTTTGGGGTTCCGGTTTGGGGTTTAGGGGTTTAGGGACGCCCAAGGCCCTCTACGGAGACGCCACACGCTCAGGTCATGGCCACGTGCGGATAGCGGTAGTACGTCCACCCGATGCCTGCAAAAACTCAGCAGAATCATCTAGGCTTTACGGCGTATACGTTTCGGAATCCATATATTATAGTATTGGTACTTTCCATGATTGGTACTCCTGCTAAGTTGTAGGTCCTACCATTTCTTGGTGGCCCAAGGTTGAAACTTGTTGTGCGCATGGCATGCCGGGTGAAGCCTGCGAAAGTCGCCACTAACCCCCACTTGAAAACCTCAGCATGAGAATCGGCGCACTACTCTCGAGGAGCCTATGAGTCTCTGACCTTTCAAGCGAAAAAACTCGAAGCTGCGATCAAACTCGGCTTGGCCTGTGTCGGAGCCGCCAGGAAACGTTCGACGATGCTCGTTTTTCTGCCATGCCTGTTCCGCAAGATGGCAAGATTCCCGACTCCCTGCGACGACTCGGGCGGGTCAAGCACAAACGGCGGATGAAACTGAAAAGAAAGGACGAGTGCCTCAGCCTCTTAGGACATCACCAAATCTTCCGGTGGCCTGGTAGTTGCCACCCAGCACGGAAGCCGGAACTGCACCATACCTCAACTTTCCCGGATCAGACTTCAGGGCATGCATCACCAAATCGCCAACCAACCTACACGAGGGTTTAGAGCTCAGGATCGACAAGCAAAGCTATTCAACAAGGTCCCTTCTTAAAGGAAACTACAGGTGGGGAGTTTAGCGTATATAGGGCTTCTATAAGGCTTCTATAAGGTATATAGACCTTCTATAAGGCTCCTACAACGGTAACTACCCACCTGAAAATGTCCTGGACCTTCCAGCGCTGCAACAACCGGCACATAACCCGGCCACCCGAAAAGCCTCGAACCCTAAACCCTAAACCCTAAACCCTAAACCCTAAACCCTAAACCCTAAACTCTCAACCGCACGTCCTGAACCATAGACTCCATGCCCTGGATGCTGGAGGCTACCTGGACCCAAAAAGTATGTAGAATAATGGCCCTTTATAGGTATTGGGCCATTATTTTAAGTATTTGGGGGGGCCGGGGGGGCGGGGCGGGTGTAGGTAAGCCTCAACCCTACACGCTCCTTCCCTGCGGCAAGCAGCGTATCCAACAGTTTCAGAATCGAGCCCCGCATGTGGTCGATCTCCTTGAACGGTTTAGGCTCTAGGGCTTCTAGTGTTTGTAGGGCTTTAGAAGGATGCGGTTTAGGGTTTAGGTTTTAGGGTTTAGGGTTTAGGGTTTAGGGTTTAGGGTTTAGGTTTTAGGGTTTAGGGTTTTTAGGGTTTAGGGTTTAGGGTTTAGGCACTCTTGTTAGGGGTTCCTTTTGGGGTTCAGGACTTCAGGATGTGATGTCGAACTTCGAAGTCGCCCTGCGAAGACGTATCAACTTACTAGAGTTAGGGTTTAGGGTTTAGGGTTTAGGGTTTAGGGTTTAGGGTTTAGGGTTTAGGGTTTAGGGTTTGCTGCGATTGCCTATACGGTTACGTACTAGACATTCCTACCAGTACTACTCCTGCTTACTTACTGCTATCCTTAGCATGCTTGATGTTGTTACCATGATTACGATTACTGGTACCAACAATTGCGAGTACTATCATTACCAGTATTTCTAGTATTACCATATCATTACTGTTGTGGGCGTGGCATGGAAAGAACATACTACAGGAGTTACATGCCGAATACAAGCCAGAAGCTAGTAGAACAGTTGTCTCATGAAAGCTGTACGATGTTCTAGGAAGGGTATACAAGATCATGCTAAAGTTTATAACGGTTGTCCCGGCCAGGAAGATTAACCCTAAACCCTAAACCCATTAAGGGACAGTAGGAGGGACCCCTAGAAGGGACCCCTCGTCCAAATGCCCTATATAACCCTTATATACCCCTTCAATAGTCTCATAAAGCCCCTACATAACCCCAAGCGTCCCTTTAAGGGTCCCTCCTTCAGTCCCTTGATGAAGAAAGGTGCTGGCTTAAGGAGAACTTAAACCCTACACCCGAAACCCCTGGAAAGTTGCTGGCTTACTTGGAGGATCATGGGACTTAGTAAGTATGGTTATAAGTACCGCAATTGGGGTTATAAGTAGTTATAAGTATAGTTATCCTGATAATAACCTTAGTTACTAAGTCCCATGATCCTTTAAGTAAGGGTCATGGGCTCAAAGGCCTCCACAAAATTTTGATGAGGGTCCCAACCCTGAACTTTGAATCCCAAACCTCGAAACGCCCCAAACCCTATAGAACCCTTCTAGAACCCTTTATAGAACCCTCATAGCCCCTTTAAAGTCTTCTACATTAACCCACCACCTACCCCCCCAAAAAAAGAAGATAACAATAATGATAATATTATTAAAAGTAAAAATAAATCAAGAAAGAAAAAATATTATATATATATATATGATAGTATAAAAAATATAATACTAATAATAACCCCCCCGCCCCCTTCCAGGGCCGCCTCGTGGAGCTCTACCTGCGACAAGCCGTCCTCGAACCTCCCAGGCCGACAGCAGTGAAGCTTTAAGAAAGAGGGGAGGAAGCAAGGTTTAGGGTTTAGGGTTTAGGGTTTAGGGTTTAGGGTTTAGGGTTTAGGGAAATAAAAAGCCAACAGACCTTTTAGGGGGGAGGAGGAGTTTGGGGGCTCGGGCTTTGGGGGGCTTAGGGGTTTGGGGCTTAATTTCGGGTGTTTAGGGCTCAGGGCTGTACGGGTTTAGGGATTGGTGGGTTAAAGGTTGCGTGTTTAGGTGGTTGGAGGGTTGCGTTTGAGTTTTCGAATTGAAGGGTTTAGGGGAGGGCCTGCGAAGGATCTGGAAAAGGATCTGAAAAGGGGCTTATGAAGTCGGTTTAGGGTTTAGGGATTATGAAGGCTCTATACGAGTTGCACTGGGGGGTTTGTGGGGTTCTGCAAGGGTTTGAGAATGTAGAAAACGAGAGACAAGAAGGCTTCAATACCCTGCACATACGGAGTGTTCGACCGAACAACGCAACAAAACCGCCTTCACAAGTTCAAGACATAACTCTCAAATCGAGGTTCGTCAAAAGCGATATCTAACTTACCCGAGCTACCTTAGGGAATGTTCCCCATGACCTCCCTGGGCTTTAGTAAGAGAAGCCCACCAAAACCCTCAGAACTTCTGCTGGAAACCAGGAAGATTTTGAAGGAGCACAGATTGCATTATGCTGTCTTCTGATTTACGGTTTCGGTTTACTGCATAGTTCCCAACCCTTGAACCCGAAGCCCCTCACACTCACAACTAGGTATCGAGCTCTTCATGAGACTGGAGCAGCGCCATAACCGCAGCTGCAGTGTTTTCCCACCTGCAAGCAACGGCTCTCTCCAATGCACTTTCTGGCGGGGCTGTCTAGGGGTTTACCGAGCTTGGGTTCATTTCCATGTGGATTTAGTCTCTAGGGCTTATCGTGTTTAGATGGGTTCAGGCTTTAGGGCTTCTTTGCCCAGTCACTGGACGCCGTTGCCCCAGTTGCTGAAGCGCATTCCGCGGAGATTTTCGGGACGGACGCCGGTCGCGTTTCCGATGACATCCTGGAGCTCAGGAAGGGCTTAGGGTTTTTTAGGGGTTTAGGGTGTAGGGTTTAGGGCTTTAGAGGTTTGGGTTTAGGGTTTAGGGTTTAGGGCTTTAGGGCTTTTTAGGGTTTAGGGTGTAGGGTTTAGGCTTATCTATTTACGTCTCGCCAAGCACACACACCGACACGCCAGCGGACACACACACACACAGAGACTGTAGGATGCTAACTAGAGCTGATGCTGATCTTTCGAACAACCGTGGTGAGAACGTGATCATCAGCCATCTGACCAACATCGATCCTGCACATCACACCATCACCATGAGTCCGAACTTACCACTGCAGCTTCAGCGAGTTGCGCACTGCGCCTCGTCCCAGGTGAGCAAGCCTTCGTCCTCGATGGATTGAAGCGCCGCTGCTACCGCCGCAGTCTCCGGGAGCGCCAGGAATGCATGAAATTGGAGCAGGGGGAGGGTTTAGGGTAGAGGAAATCACACAGCTGAAGAAGTCGTTGGAGTCATGTCGGTCTCGTCTCGTTCGCCGGTGCAGCATACTCACCAAAAAGAGACTCCGGCGCGATCCCATATCAAAACGTACTAAGTCTCTCTTGCATTGGCTCTTGAAGTTGCAGTTGGAGTCATGCCCTCTCTTGCACCGGATGCTGCTCCTCTCTGCCATGCTTCTCTCGCTTTGAATTTGGTGGACGAGTGCTAGACCTCCGCGGGATTGGAAGCACGAGAGTCAGTTGTGATATCGCGTACCCATGCAAGGGGAAATACCAATACCCCTTCTCAGAATGGCCTAACAGTCAATCGCAAAGCAAGGCAGCAATGCCCCTTGGTTTGGGATCCGACCTCAACCCCTACGCAAAAGACTGTAACTTCATGTAGGCTAGGGTTTAGGGTCTAGGGTATAGTCCGTAGCAGAAGGGTGAATGGATCACCCTGGATATAGCCAGGGTCAGGTCGGCTAGCACCCAGAACTCCAAAGAATGAGACGATGCCTTGCGTTCTTTGGCCGGCTCTGCACCAGCCAGTAGGTTCCAAAACCTTGGGAAGCTCCGGCAATACGCGTTCCTTTAAAGGGCTCTTTTCTTTCGAGCGGTTTCATACCCTAAACCCTAAACCCTAAACCCTATAAAGGCTACCATAAGCGTTGAGGTAAAGGGCCCGGCATCCCTCATGACGATTTCGGAAAGAAAGGCCCATGCCAAGCAACGCAGCAAAACAAACGCCATGCGTAAGTAACCGTATGGTCTTTGATGGAAGGGGTATTTTGGCTCTCAGGGTCAGTAACTGTATGAAATGTGTATATATATATATATATCAATATATATATATATATATGTGTATATATATATGTCAATATATATATATATATATATATACTTTTTTTGCTGCGCGCCCAACTCTGACACTTGCACGAGACCTTTTGAGCCTTTGAGCTGGCATTGCACGCTCCGCCTGCGCACCAAGTTAAGATTTACCAACAATCTCTGGGCATCAGGGACGCAAATCGCAAACCCTGAACTGAACCCAAAACTCTTGACCCCAAAACGCTAGAACCCTAAACCCTGAACCCTAAACCCTAAGCCCTATAAACCCTTAAACCCGTCACGCAATACGTCCTGCGCCAAGCCGCACACCGTCCGCTGGCACCGCCGTCTTCATGAACTGGAGGCCGAACGAGGTTACGGCCGTTTGTTAAGGGCTCTGCAGGGGTTTTAGGGTTTAGGGTTCAGGGTTTAGGGTTTAGGGTTTAGGGTTTAGGGTTACGGTATTACAGGGGTTCTAACAGAGCCTTGCATGAGCTCTACAAGGGTTCTGCAAGGGTTCAAGATAGTTTCTGAAAAAACAAATAACGTTTTGGGTAGGGTTTAGGGTTTAGGGTTTAGGGTTTAGGGTTTAGGGTTTTGGGTTTAGGGTTTAGGGTTTAGGGTTTAGGGTTTATGAAGCCTCAAAGCTCACGCTCTCCGGCGAATCTACTCTTTGCAAGAGGTAGCATCATGTAGCATCGACAGTCAAACCCTTAGATGAAGGCTGGCTACTTGCCTCGGCGTTCGTGACTTTGGAACCCGGAGAAGTTTGACGACCCCCTAGGAAACTCGAGGCTTCTTCGAAATCTGTACACAAGGTAGAACTATGACGAAGATCAGCGGCTCTTCTGGGGTTTAGGGTTTAGAGTTTAGGGTTTAGGGTTTAGAGTCTGAAACTCCAGACTCCCGAAATCCCCGACGCCCTTCCCGCCGTGACGTCGCAGGGTACTTCGCCATCCGTGCCCATGGCAAAAGATTGCGGGTACCTGCCAGAACAGAATGCTTAGATCCTCTAGCCTCTAGCCGTCAAAGCTCCTGTGACACTGAATATAGGGGCCTTAATATTTGGAATAGGGTTTTGGGGTCCATTATACTATCATCATAATAAGGAACCCCCAAAATAGTATTAGTAACTATTTAGGCTTCTATATTAGTCGGGCTCAGGCTGTAGTTTGCACACGCACTCTTGTCCGGACTTAGAGCCCTCCGAACGCCTTGTGTTGAATCCAAACATCTCTTGGACGAAGACGCGGGCGCGATTCGCAGCATCCTGCAAAAGAGGCTACACAGAAACTCCAAAACCGCTTGATGAAGCAGTTCGAGTTCGATCAGAGCAAGAAACGTTCTATAACTCATACGATGCATTTCTTCATGAAGGGCTCTTGGAGCCTCTGGCGGTAGCACGCAAAGCCAAACAAGTATTGGCGGAAGCTGGCGCATGCAACCACGCCCATCTGAATCGTTTGGGTTGACAGTCCGAAAACCTGAAGCAGTGCAGGAAGCACCTCGTCGCCCAGGACCTTTGCCAGTGCGTACATGTCGATGTTGTGCCTTTGCTCAGGCAGGCAGTGCAGATCAGTGCAGCTTCGCAAGCCAACGCCGCTGAGCTGTGCTTCTGTGCCGGGGCGTCTAGGGCAGCCACAGCAACGGCCTATGCCAGCACGTGGAACCGTAAACCCTAAACTCGCGATGCGACAATGCACACTGAAAAAACAAACATTGTCCAATATTGTCCACCCAGGAGCTCAGTAGAACGGTAGTTTGCAGGATATGGCCTTCCAGAAGCAAAGATGGGCTCCGCATGCCACCACCATCAGCGTTCTTGGGGGACATGCTGGTAAGTTGGGGCACTACTGCTAAGCGTGTGGCGGCTACCGCCCGCTTGTTGCTGAAAGCAAGGCGACCAAACCACCCAAGTTTGGCACTGCCTACATTTAAAGCTTGCGCAGTCTCCCCTTCCGTGCGTCTCGCATAGCGGGGCATGGAATAGCAACAACATATCTCCGAGTTTCATCCTGTCTCCCTTCATGCAATACAGTCACAGGGAAAAGTAAACAAAAGGCCGAAAAGCAAAGCAGTATGCCAGTACGCATCGCATCGCTTGCAAGCAGCGAAACAAAACACGAAGCAACCTGGCGCTTCGTACAACTTCTGCAGCTGTTTTGACGATTTGCGAAGGGTGGTAAAGCCCAATCCCTGAAGCGCACGCCCCAGATCCCAAACCACGAGGCCCTAAACCCCAGCCCCCAGCGCAGGATCGCGACCTGCAGCCACGAACCCTGAACCCACTAAATTCACTAAATCCCGTAAACCCTAAACCCTGAACCCACCAGGCCAGCCTCAGCTTGGCCATGAATCCTAGCAACTTGTCGTTACCTGCGCTTCAGAGATTTGAAATTTGCTTGTGATTCATCGTCCGAGGTTTCGAGTTGGGACGTCCAGGGAGGCAGGTTGCGGACGGTCAGAGAAGCTTGAATCAGCGTCTCAAGCTAAACGTTCTTGCTCTACACCGGAAGGGCGCGACATGCACATCCTCATGGTGAAAAATGGAAGCTTGGGACTTAACCTTCTAAATTCATGAATATTCGTTGAAAACCAACCCGAACCCCTAAACCCTCATGCGTGGCTCCGAAGCCCAACTATGATTTCGGCTGCAGTTCCTTGACTAAGGGATACGGCTCCGAAGCATTTCAGAATACATATTTATAGTAAGGAACCCTCAGGAATCGTATTGGTAACTATTCAAGCTTCTATACTACAACGATAAATCCGAGGCAAGGGTGCAGACGGCCGTGCGCTTCAACGCGTGCAGAATGTCGTGCGCCGCCACCTTGGCTACAGCTCCTCTCTCTACATATGTATGTACTTCTAAATGTATATAATGATAAGTAAGAAAAAAGTGTATGATTCGGCTGTCTTCAAGGGCCATACCATTAGAGCAGAACGGAAAGGAGGGTTGACTAATGAAAGGGATCTACATTGCTGCAAGCCCTAAGCTTGAGAGGGAGAGAGCTTAGGTGGAATGGGAAGCAGATATTTCATGCAGCCACGTGTCCTGGCCAGCTAGTATTAATGAATCCGTCCGACTCAGGACAGGGTGCATGTCGAAACAAATCTGTCAACTTCGGAGACGAGACAAAAGATCGATCTGAAAAAGCCAATGTTGAACTTTCGATGCGCTCAAATGTTCCTTCGAACAATTGGCTTGCGCCTGGACGAATACCTCAAAACAGTACTTGGAGGGTCGGGGGACTTAGCAACTGGTTATTTTAGGGACTTATAGGTACCATAACCCCAATTAGGGTCCCTTTCAGGGTACTTATAAGTCTACTTACTGCCTACTTACTAAGTCCCCCGACCCTCCAAGTAACCATGCTGCCAAACCAACCTGGGCAGACGAAAAACAACGGCTGTAATGGTCGGAACAAGGGTGACGAAGACAACCATGGAAATGGCAATGATCATCATACTCACGGCAGCCTACTTGAACAAGAGGAACAAAAATGAAAGCGATGATTGTAATCACCAAACGGTAGCAAGAAGCAGAATAAGGAGTAGGAAGAGAAATTGTAACAGCAAACTACACGCGAATCCAATATTAGTGAGAATACCAACATGAAAATGAACATCAAAAATGAGGCTTGTTAGCCATAACATTCGAATTATAACTTCTTTTGGCAATAAGATTCTAATAAGATTGGTATTTACAATTTCGATTGATACCCATATTGAAAAGAGTCCTGTTAATTGTAGTAGCAGAAGCAGTAGCAATACCCGTAGCAGTAGCAGCAGTGGCAGTAGCAGTAGCAGTAGGAGCAG